GCAACCCACGCAAAGGGGCCATGTCGAATAAACTCCTCATCACCAAATTTTTCTACATGAAACCTGGAAGCTCAGAATTGCACACAGCAATTCTTGAATTTTAGAAGGATCACATTCAATAAACCGCATTCCGGGTTCATGAACCTGAAGTGTTCGGTCATCAAATGGATAGTTTGCATTGTATTCGTATCGATCATGGCTACAAAACCAGCCCATCTTCATAACACACGCGTGCGACAATTGATGTTTAGTGGTTCTAACTTTATTGAATGTCTTCCTTCATCCTTCGTATTTCCTCTCCTTTCTCTGCCGCCTCAACTTTTCTACACCAACTTATCGGAATTTCAAATAGAATAGAGTGAAGGATGATGGAGCATCAAACTTTGATATTTCTGATACACTATGTATTCTGCTTCAATTCCGAATTGCAATGGCCTATGAATGCGATTCACTCGGGGTGAAGGAACTCATCAACAATCGCATCATCTCCATCCAAATTTGATCCCATGATTTCCATGATGCTGTACTTTTCACGGAACCAAGCCAGTACGAAAGCCAACAATTTTATTCTCATAAACATCTTATACCAATTGATCGACTCAGGCGGAAGCAGTGCTCGGGTATGGTAGTCTGGACGAAATCCGATCCGAATACACACAAGTGCTGGGTGATTGAAGTTACTAAACAATCCCATCATCCCCATGCAAATTGATCCTCATAATTTCCCTTATGCTGTACTTTTCTTAAACCATGTCGAAGCAGACAAATATGAATAATTAAATAATTAAAATATAATTCAAATGCATGATTAAACGCATAACAATAAGTTAGACGCAGTTATAAATAATTTTCTCATTATCCCAACAAGAGAGTAACATCGTAAGACTGTTACCTGAAGGCAACACCTGGTGCGTACATATTTCAGGTTTAAATAATTCTCTGATTTCTTCTGTATTTCCGTGATATAATTCCCACTTTAAAAAATTTACACATCTTTCGAAACTTCTGAAGGGTTCGTGTACTGAGAATTTTACCACATGTTTTCGGCTGTCAGAAATTAAATGAAAAATAAAAGTAATCAAGTAAGCGCATAAGTCGCAATCAAACACATCAGGTGGCTGTGACCCAAATTTTTTTGCATTTTCCTTGAGATTCATTCAAAATTGCAGAGAGTACTTTTAAAGGACATCAATCGGTCGTTTTGATTTTGAGCAAGCCGTTCGCCGAAAAGAATTACTCCATGAGTCTGAAATCTTATACTACCCTGCACAATCGGTCGCATTCTACAAAACGTTGCAGGGACCACCTTCAAGGCATCATAGATAGCACCTCGCTAATAGCACTTACAGTGACGGATTCGCTTCTCGTAGAGAACAGTGTCAAAAGGTCAACCGATTCCAAAATTCACGACCGAATGGTACCCAAACTAACGAAGTCTAGCTTTGTTCAAAAGAGGCTCACTTGTACCGTATGCAGCTAACTGGTGGGACTGGAACCTTGATGTGGGTGCTCCAAAATCTACCAGCTAACCTAGTCGAATCTTAAAACGCTTCAACGATCCTAAATAGAAATCGAATACGCGGCGCATTCGGGAGGAACCAAAAAACGCGTATCAATCTCTCATCGATCAGTGCTTTCTCCTCGCAGGTGCCCACGAAAATTCACTTATTTGTCACACAACACGGGAACAAATTTTGTTGTGAACTTTGAATGCATGGAAGGTGAAACTCGTTGAATGACTCGATGTGTGACCTTGCGTGACGAGAGTTTTACACTGTCGTCTATGTGGTTCCACCCTTACAACAACTATCACACAGTCATTCTCTTTTGATTACCATCGCCGTGTCGATATCCCGTTTCTCCTTTTATGTGAACCAAACTTTCATCCTGATTGCCCGCCCACCTCAAGCCTGGTTCTATCATCGTTCCGAAAAATTTGCCCTCGCTTTTCCTGGGAGGTCGTTAGGGACATGGAGCGGTTCCCAGCACGGTTTTGACGCGTTGCAGAGGTATCTTTATTGAATTGCATTTCTCCTAACAAAAGGGCCGTACTTTTCCTGGTTCTCAGAGGGCCGCACAGCAAGAAAGGATATTTCTCGCTCATTTCATCTTATGAAATGTGGAGGCTATTTCGCTCCACGTCCTGAACTGCCTCCTCTCAACAAGGCACCTTTGCTTTCACCAATACCCTTTCTCTCCTTGTTTATCTATCTGCCCTTTTTGGCACAATCAATATGTACCTACTGTATTCAGCACAATATTCAGTATGTTGCCGGCGCTTCTTATTCTGTGTTTTGTGCCAGTGGCAACTGCACTTGGACGAACTCAAGCAGTTGGTGTGAAAGGAGTTCTTATATGCAACGATAAACCTGCGGCGAATGTAGAAGTGAAACTCTACGATGAGGACAAGCGTAAGTGGTACAGTTGAGCAAGTATTAGGTCAAACTGTACCCCCATCGATGTCGCGAAGTCTCACAACATCCCTGCTGTACAAATTTAAAAATGCTAGATGGCCTTATATTGCCAAGCACGACATCATTTCATTTTTACTTTCTATTTTCTGAGATTGATCTGAGATTGATTTCACATACCAGGGGTGCTTTCATGG